TATATATATATATATATAATTTTAAAGATTGTTTTATTATCAATTGAGAGCATGAATTCTTTCTTGAAATTATTAAAAGATGATTTTTATTGCATGAGAAAATAATTATGATTCATTGGTGTTGTAAAGTCTTTCAAATTTATTGCAACTGAATCTATGTAAAGATAAAATTGAAATGAGCTTTAGTCTATCATTCAGTCAACTTTGTATTTTACCAAAATTAGATGATTTGGCAAATAATCAACATAATTGTAGAAACTTAATCATATTTTATGTATTTATTGCAACTAATGGATCATGATTTGATATAGATTTAAGTATTACATAAAGTGATAAAATGGATTTGTAGTTATTAGCAATGGCATCATGGACGTCTACATCTATAACTCAATCATATTATTTACACAAATGATAAAATTTAAGTTGATTATGATACACAACTTTGGGCACATTTCAGATCAATTTTATTTTTTCTTATTCTTTTGCTTTTCTTAAAAAGTAATTGTTCAAGGCTTGTTTGGAATCACTTTTGTTTTTATTTTTTGTTTTTGTGTTTGGTTTATATATATATATATATAGTACCTCAAGTCTTGGTCTGTTGGTGGTGAGATCACTGTAAGTCCACTCTGGTCAAGAGTTCAATCTCACCGTGACGCGGGGGCTATGAAATTTTAGGAACATAGAACGGGCTCTCATCATGGGGTAAAAAAGCGCAAGGGAAATCGATATTTAAGGTTTTGCCAAATATCGGTTTCTTTTGTATTAATATATATATATATATATATATAAAACATGAAACTGAATATATCTCATATAGTCGATGATTTAAATAACTGAACACAATTTTATGAGTAATACTTCGTCTTGAGAGATGAAAGTATCACTTGATGATAGTCTCAATTATTCAAACCAATGAATATATGATATTCATTTGGTCTGCAAAATTTTAAACGGATCATTCCTCTACATAATGTAAAAAATTAGATAGGGTTTACATTATCTGTGTTATTATTTCTCATATAAGTATAAACACCTATAGTTAATTATATCTTAAGCGATTTAAATCACCTATCAAAACTCTCAATTAAGATCGAGGTTTAGTCTTCAAGAATTCAAAGTTCAGTTTTCACGATTGGTCACAGGAAAATCAAGTGGGAATGACTCAAATAGAAACAATTATTTTTGAAACCAAATGAGTGGAAGGTAGGGGATGTCATAGATTATGAGGAGAACCTCATTGATTTCTGAAACTATCCTACTATTTGACTTTATATTTTTGAAATGATGTTATTTGATGTTTAGTCCTGTCATTTTATTTAAATTTTGGGCTTACATTCACATGGTATATGATCATGCAAATAATCTAGGAATATATTAGGATTTACTTCATACCAAATTAACAACCTCTAGATCCTAAATAGGGTTAGAGCTTATATCGCACGACATATAGTTATGTGAAGGCCTAAAAAATAGTGAGGATTTACGTCATAATAGACGAACAACCTCGAAGTTCAAAGGGTTTATGTTGTATAGATCTATAAAAAACTTAGTTGAGGATCATCCTTCGCTTTATGTTTGGTCTTGATCGTTGCCCAAAGGTTGTCCACTACTCGATCCATCTTGGCCTTGTTCTATAAAAGAAGGATGGGAGAGAGAAATCATGCCTCGAGCAATCTATCCTAAGTCCTTTATTTTTTTATTGTTTTGGTTTTATTTGAATGAATTTTTATTTTGAGGTTTTAATGATATTTAACGTTTTTCCAAGTCACTGTATTGGTCGTATGTCATAGGGTTTTCGCCGAAACATGTGTTCTACGTCCTCTATCCTTAGAGGTTTTAGTAGAAAAAAATTATACGTTTAAGGTTTTACACCCTAAGCATGTGTCTTATGTTCACTACCCTGAGGCTTTTTTTCCCACAATGTTAGAAAAACAGTAAATGACATAATGATAACGTATAAAAAATTGTGCACAGTCAAGCTCTAGCCGAGTGAGAACAGACTCATCAGATGGTCAGTGATAAACCAGATGGGATGAGTCTGGAAGTATGGTCGGAGCCTGCGAGCGGAAACATTTGAAGTAAACATTAGTTTTTCTACGCTGACCGAACTTTTTAAGATGTTGAATTTGAATTTGTCTGGAGAATCACATCAATGGATTATAGCATAATATAGGAGTTTGAGAGTGCAATAATGAACAATAGAATGATTAAATTGTGTAACCATTTATTCATGAAAAAATTCCTATTTAAAGGTAATGGTGGTATAATATATGAAATCATATTTATGCTATTACTTGAGTAGGGATTGTGCAAGTTAATTTAGGTTTTTCATTTTTTTGGGCCCATGGCCTTACTACTCTCGGGTTTGATCAAATGGGCTTAATAGAACTTTGGTGAACTTTGTTGGGCAGCTAAGCTTGATAAGCAATGCCGGTCAGCTCTGCTACTGAACGGGTGTGTAGTTGGGGAGCAAGCGAGACAACACATGTCGTTGAGAAGCTAAATGCGTAGTTGCTATTGGTCAGCATGACTTCTACTAGATGGGAGTCAAAAGACTTGATCGACCAAGTCTGACGATTAACATGTATAATGTTGTCAACCCTTGATCCTTATCAAAGAATTCCCGCCAACATAGAAAATTTAGGTTATGAGACAAGGGTCAATTACTGTTATTCGAAGAGAATCCTACTTTTAGGCGGAGAGATATTGGAGGAAAACTGTTGGTCGTCCCTATCATGTCCGTGAGATTTGAGAGGTCGGTCCCCTCTTTGGGCTTGATTGCCTATAAATGCCAAGTTCAGGTAGTCATTTGCCTTGTGAATGGGTGAGCCATGCTGCTCGTGCAACGTGCTCATCATTGTAAAAGTTGGTTTTGTGTTTGGTTTATCTGGTCGGCTGTCTGGTTCCCCGGGTCTTTTGCTGGTATGTTCCTTGCTACTAGTTTTGTCCTATGGACTACCAAATTTTCTTGAGATACGTGTTGGCATAAATTCCATACAAATAACAATTTATTAAATTACTATATTTGAATTCGAATGGTTGCACAATATTTTAAAAGTTAGAACTCAAAAAATCAATTTGATGAATATACTATGAATTGATCACCCACGCATAAGCAAAAGATAATGAGAATATGAAAAGTTAAATATTGATTTGAATAATGATTATTGAATAATTTAGTCATAACTCTCCATTTAAAATTCTATTATGTGTGTAAAATTTTAGGTGAGTCTATTTATACTCATAAGATTATTTTGGAATGATGAATTAAATAACAAGACATACAAACTCATCAAAATATCTTTTTTTAATAGTTTAAATTTTTATTTGTGCAATTTTTTCATGCATAAATTTATCACATTTTGTGTTATATGTTTAAATATCAAACTTTATGTATTAGATATGTAAATACATAAGAAATGTGGTGTATATATATAAATTTCTCCTTATCTTAACTGTACTCATGCCATGTTTGGTACATACTGTTTATAAGATTTAACATAAAATTAATTTACATCCAGTTAAAAAAATAAAATAAAAATGAAAATTAAATCCAATGCTATGTTAACTCAAATTTATTTACATAGGTTCCCTTCATCACACCAACATAATAAATTTAAATATATCAAATTTAATAAATTATGTTTGACATAAATCTAAATTGCAACCAAACACCATCTCCTGTAATGCATTATAAGATTTTATGTTGACTGTAGTCACAAGACTTCAACTAATAGAAAATATTTCGTCTGGATGATCAACCACCTGATATTACATCGTCATACATTTTATCGACAAACAGACTTGATAGTTAATAATTAGTTGTTTAAATTTAAAAACTTTCGAATGAAATATTTGTTACTCAACCACACAACCACCCCCATTGCTATTATTGTGCCCATTCTTGAAACTGACGGCAATGGGAGTAGACTAGAAGGCACGTGACTTCTAGTGGAAAATGGAAACACACGGAAGTGGCACTGTTAGTAAATTAGCTGAAAAACAGTGCTTTTTAAGTCCTTGACATACTGCACCGAACGTGCTACAGAGCATGGTGGAAGCGGGAGCGATCTCAGTTCACGTTCGCATTGATAGAGCCTAATTCCTGTGAAACTAATCAGCTCTCTGGAGCTGCTAAGATCTAGGGTTTGGGTCAGGTATCATTCTTCTCAGTGGAAAATTTTTTTTCTTGAAAAAGAGAGTTTAGAGCGCTGCTATGTCCACCAAAATGTAGATTTTTTGGATTTTTGCATGGATCTCTCAATCTTATTGGCAATGCGGGCAATGAGTTTCTCAGTGTGGCTCAATGGATAACTATTATGACATTTCGCTTTTTTCATTCAGGAAGCTATCGAAAAAACTTTGTTGGAGGAGCTTATGGCGATTCCAGTCGAAGAGGCAATTGCTGCCTTGTCCACATTCTCTCTCGAGGTACTTGAGCGCCAGATCCTTTAAATTGAGGAGCGTATCTTTGGTTTTATTGTACTAAGTTCTCTGTTGCTCTGATGGAAACTCTTTGCTCAAGATGACTGAAAAGTGAAGAATACAGTAACCTAAATGATCCTTTAAATTGGGGAGTGTATCTTCAGTTTTATCATACTGCCATTCGTTTTGTTTCAGGGTTGTGGAATGGCTACTTAAGGTATTTTTGGCGGGAAATATCTAATATGCAAGGAACAACAACCCTTAAATCTTTGAATATGTAGGATATGGATGCCCGTGTTAATATCAAAATCTTTGGAAAGATAATGGCAGCGGTAGAAGTCAATAAAAAAGTAGAAAACAAACATTTTTTGTATTTCCTTGATTTGTTTTTGATCTAGTAGGTGACAATCAGCGGTATTTCGTCCATAGTCTGTTTTCTCTTGGTTTGCACTCTAATCGTTATGCATCCAAGTCGTTATTTGTTAAAAGCTTGAATGTGTTATTTACTCAAATTGAGAATAAGACCGGCTTCGATAAAATAGGAAAATTTGAATATGTTGGTTTCTTGAAATGAGAAAGAAGAAAAAAACTTAGGAGAATTACTGAAGATTGAAAGGAAAATTTGAACAACACGTTTTGTGTAGGCTCGCAATATTTTAAAGCTAGGAGCTAATTAAAAAACCTGAAAATCAGCCAAGAAAGTAACATGAAATAAAATTCAAGAAAAAATAGCAACTAACTCCTAAGATTAAGGAACAAACTAAATTCAAATAAACATATACTCAATAAGCAGTTCTAAGCATGTATTCCAACACTCCTTGCTTTAGGATCTGCGAACACCAAGTTTCTGCCTTAGAAACTCAAACTTGTTGATTGGAAGTGACTTTGTAAGCAAATGTGCCAACTGATCTTCAGAACTGCCAACTGATCTTCAGATTTGCAGTAAACCAGAGTCACAAATTATTCTTTCTGCACTTCTCTTAAAAAAAATAACTTGATGTTGAAATGCTTAGTGTTCCCATGAAACAAATTATGAGAAATGACAATGGTACGAATATCGACACTATTGGTAGTCAATTGCATGCTGTCACCAGAAACCCGAATGGATTTTGAATCACTTAAGCAAGCTTTATCGACATCGTCTTCCAAGTCCGCATGTGAAGCCTGAGCTTGACTCGGGTTTCTCTTCCAGCACTTGTTTTGTGGAACTTTGTTGCCTTTGAACTTGAGATTGCAAATCAGTCACAAATGTTAACAGATCCTCTTTTTCTTTTGCATCGAACAATGCTTTTTCAGCGACATCTTTTAATCGAGCTTTCACATCTGCCTGTAAAATCCTGGTGCTTTCTTCAACTCGAACTACAACCGCTTCTAATAAAACAACATGTTCTCTAGCTTTTGCGAGCTTAGAACGCAAAAAATGTGCCTCTTGAAGAGCAGAGTTTCTTTGCTTGAACTGGATCTCTCTATCTCTGCTAAATGCTGCAACCTTTTCTTCTAATTCTTTTAACTTAAGAATGGTCTCTTGAAGTTTTTTATTTGAATCATTAGTCACTCGTTCAATTTTTGTGTAAGCAAGTCTCCTCTTTTTATCCATAGCAAGAGCTGCAGATGCAACTACTTCAACAAATTTAGCTGTCTTAGTTAACTTGTCTGCTAACTCACGTATGGTTGAATCTCTTGCACGTAATTCTTTGGCCAATTGCTGAAGTTCTTCATCTTTAACTTGAAGTGTTTCCTTCATTATCGTAAGATCATCTAAATGGCCTTCATTACCCTCATTAATCAATGAAACTTTTAGTGAGTGGGCATGTTTTACAGAACTTTCATTAGGAAAAGAGCCAAAAACCTCCTACTCCTCCTGCATTGGATTGATTTCTTGCATTGGATTGAGTGAAAAACTCCTCCCTGCCATCTTAACTTCAAATATCCTTTGGCCTGTAGCATCCTTTATCACACAAGCCTTCTCCATAAATATTACTTTGAATCCCTTTTCTATTAATTGAACAACACTGATCAAGTTTTGATCAATATCTGGTACATAGAGAACATTAATGGTCAACTTGGTTCCTGAACAGCTTGCAATGGCTACGGTGCCTTTTTCTTTGACTGCAATATATTCACCATTCCCAATTCTGACTTTCTTGGACTCGGTGCTCTTCAATTTCTTGAACAATTCCTTCTCACGTGTCATATGATTAGTGCAACCACTATCAATGAGCCAGTTATCAATATATGATTAGTGCAACCACTATCAATGAGCCAGTTTTCACTTGTTTCAGAACTCGTGAAACAAGTTGCAATGAAAAGCTGGTCATCTTCTTCTTGATATCTCCTTGTCGCTTCATCTCCTTGTTGCTGATCTTTATTCTTGCAAATGATAGCTTCATGTCCCATTTGATTGCATTTGCTGCACTTTGCATTTAGCCTTCTCCAGCATTTGAAAGGAGGATGACTTTTTTTGCCACAATGTCGACATGGAGGGTAATCTTTCTTTTGTTCACTTGTAGCTTGAAACTTCTTGTCTTCTTGTTCTTGGGCTACCTATTCTTTTCATCATCTTGATGCTTGATTGGAAGAGCTCCTTCAACGACTCCTTGCCTCATTACACGCCTCTGCTCTTGTGCTTGTAAAGCACTTAAGAGTTCTGCCAAAGCAATTTTTAACAGATCCTTCGTGTTTTTTAAGATGGTGATGGTAGCCTCAAATCTTTCAGGCACTGTTACAAAGATTTTCTAAACAATCCTTGAGTCTTCCAAAGAAGAATCTAATAATTTGACACGATTTGCTAAGTTGGGTAGTCTGTCAGAGTACTCTTTTATGGTTTCAGTCTCCTTCATCTTTTGCAATTCAAAGTCACGAACCAAGTTTAACACTTGCATCCCTCGAATTCTTTCTTCTCCTTCATACTCAGATTTGAGATAATCCCAAATCCTTTTTGCCGTTTTCAACAACATGATATGAGTGAAGATCGTAGAGGAAACTGTAGCAAACAAGCAAGCTTTTGCCTTGGACTTCTTTGTCTTCTTCTTTTTTTGTGCTTTAATTTGTGTTACGATGGGATTTTCAGGGAGAAGAGGAATGTCATGGTCTTCTTCCACTGCTTCCCAGAGATCCAAAGCTTCCAGGTACGTCTCCATGCGGACTGCCCAAATTCGGTAGTTGTCTCCGTCAAACACTGGTGGAGCAACTGACTTCGATCTCCATTGCCGCTCAAACTCATGCACAAGTCCCTTAAGAAGAGAGGTCCCTTAAGAAGAGAGCTCTGATCCCTTAAGAAGAGAGCTCTGATACCAATTTGTTGGTTTCTTGAAATGAGAAAGAAGAAAAAAACTTAGGAGAATTGCTGAAGATTGAAAGGAAAATTTGAACCACACCATTTGTATAGGCTTACAATATTTTAAAGCCAGGAGCTAATAACAAACTTCCTAGAAAAGATCTAAAAATCAGCCAAGAAAGTAACAAGAAATAAAATCCAAGAAAAAATAGCAACTAACTCTTAAGATTAAGAAACAAACTAAATTCAAATTAACCTAGACTCAATAAGCAGTCCTATGCATGTATTCTAACAAAATCCATACCTGAAGAAACTTCAGCTGAAACTTACCCAAACTTTTTACTTTTTTTTTTGAGGTGCTTATTTCTGGAGTCAAGCTGGTTTCTTAAAAGTGTTTTGAAACGGTACATGTTGTCATTTGTTTATTAATGCTTCTTAATTTGATCAATATTGCATTACTTATTTCAATCAACAAATTCAAGGTACCAATCTTTAGTCAAAATGTTTTCTTTGCCAAATTGAACTCCATAAGTTCCTGCTGAGATGCAACTTCAAAGAAGATTAATCTGATTCCAATTTCTTAACAGACTACTGATGATAAACTCGTTTTCAATTATTCTTATTTCTTTTCTTTTCTTGGACTTGAAATATCTTGTTTTTCCTTTTAGTTGATCTCTAGCTGAAAGAGAATTGGAATTAAGTTTTAAGAGATAGGAATTTAGAGAAAGAAACTTGTTATTTTTATGAATACCAGTGATTCCCAGGGAGGAGGATTGAGTATTGGGAATCATGCCAATAATATATTGATTCTTGGGAATCATATGGAGTGACAGGCAGGAGAGAGAGAATTCCTTGGGAATCATGCCATTGTGAATTTTTAGGAATTTGCATATTATGTTAGCGACAGGGGAATGAAATGATTTCAATATTCAATTATAGTTAATTATCAAATTGCAAACAGTCAAATTCCTATTGATATAAATAAGTTTGCAAGGTAAAATGAAATTAATTTTATAGTTAATTATTATAAATCCGATCATCTGATTTAAAATAAAGGTAATCCTAAAAATTTAATGCCTATAAGCAGGAAATATGATATCAAAATTAATTTTATTAGAAAATCTAGAAAATACTTGAATAATTTTGATGCATGTGTTAGACTGCATAAACTCCTTTGGTGGCAGTAAAGCTCATTTCGCAAAACATACATGCATGAGACTTTTTTGCAAGTTTGGTTTCCATGGAGGAGGTGGTAGAATTGGCGCATGAACATTTTTTGGATCTTCAACACTTTTGAACATAGCAAGCAAAATCGGGAGGATTTGGATCTAGATGTCCTTGTGCTTCATTCATCTTCTTTTGATTAGTACTTTAGATATTCCCATAGTCACATGTAGGTGGTATTAGTGATATTGATATGTAATTGCGTGTAAGTATCCCTTAATACCAAAATGGAATTGTGTTTTGGAAGGCATATGGGGAATGAAGGCCTCAACTGGACTTTAGGGTTTCTTGAAGGCCTAACGGTTTCGTGCCAGAAATTTCTTGTTTAGAGTTATAGGTTTCTATGAAGATGAATTTAGGTTTTTTTGAGTTTCGAAATGAAAGATACCTTCATGCTTGTATGCGAATTAAGGTTCATGAACCATGCAAGAATTAGGATTTTGGTAATTGATTTAATGAAGAAGCATGCAATAACTACAAAAATGATTGAAGGAGATACACGATA